AGGCTGACACAATACACTAAAAACAACATAACACCCAAATTAAAGAACTTAAAAACATTTTCAAGAAAATCAAAACACACACAAAACATGAACATCACAACACACACATTACAGAATACATTGATAAACTAAACAAAAACTAGCAGCCAAAGCATGTAGACTCAAAACGATACAAAACCTGTACACTATGAAAACAATATAAATTATTTACAAACAATGAAAAATGCTTTTATAGATAAATTAATACAAAAACAAACACTGATAAACAGCACAGTGGCACACCAACAGAAGAACTCACAACATATTGGTCTTCCCTATGGTCCAGTGCTGTCACACACAATGCTGATGCAGGCTGAATCAAGGAGGAGAACAAAAACTTGCACAACATACCAACTATGCCCTCCCTGTGCTGAAATAAACATACACGATGTCCAATATACTGTTAGCAGAACACACAACTGGAAGACACCTAGTGCAGACAACATTCACAATCTGTGGTACAAAAAGTTTACATCACTACACCAGGAACTAGCTAAACACCTAATACACATCATCATCAATCTACAAGACATGCCAAAATTTCTTACTCGGAGCATCATCTACATGAAACCTAAAAACAGCAATACCATAGTCCCCACACAATACAGACCAATTACATGTCTCCCTACACTCTACAAATTGACATCCTGTATCACAAACAAAATATGACATTCTTACAGAATAACAAAAAAGGGATTCAAAGAACAGTTACTCATATATTCAGCCATTCTATGGCAAACACACAAACAACACAGAAACATACACATGGCATATATAGACTACACATGTACAAAATACATCCATCACTCAATGCATTCTTCCAAAACACTATGCAGCACTGGAGAACAACACTACATCTTAGGGTTAGTAACACTTCCATACAAACAAACCAAATATTCATTAGGCAAGAAATTTTTCAAGAAGATTCCCTGAGTTCTCTCTGGTTCTGCTTAGCCCTGAATCCATTATCTAACATGTTAAACAACACTCAATATGGTTATCAGACATGAAAAAACAACACAGTTTACACTGTCACATCTCATGTACATGGACGACATAAAACTTTATGCATCCACACAAAAACAACTTCATCAACTCCTACAAATCACACATTCATACACCAAGGACATACAAATGGAGTTTGGCCTAGACAAATGCAAAACACTTCACATAGAAAAAGGAGTCCTGAAGAAAAATTTTGGACTTGGAAATGGAGATGTTATTGAATCTATGGAATCTAAATACAAGTATTTAGGATTTCAACATGCCAAACTAACAGAACATACACAAATAAAGCAAAGATTAATTAAAGAATATCAAAGTAGGTTAAATGCTATCCTCAAAACACAGTTAAATGCAAAATATACAGTTAAAACAATAAACACATATGCCATCCCAGAACTCATTTATTCTTTTGGAGTTATACATTGCACTGACAGATCTTGAGCAACTCCAAAGGAAAACAAGAAAAACACTAAGCATAAATGTCATCATCCTAAATCTGCCATAGAAAGATTAACCCTTCCACATAAAGGTGGTGGATGTGGCCTGATTGACATAGTAAACCTTCACTACAAACAAATACAGACACTGTGAGTTTTTTCTACAAAAAACTAGAAACATCACAGTTACATAAAGCAGTAACTCTAGCAGACTCAAATAACACACCATTAAACTTATACTCACAACATATGGACATGACAACATATAAATAGCATAGACACCATTAAGCAATCGTGTGTGCGAAAGGCACTGCATGGCAGGCATCCCTATGACCTGGCCCAGGATTTTGTTGACAAAACTGCATCAAACAGCTGGTTAGCTCAGGGATGCCTCTTTGGGGAGACGGAAGGATTCATGATTGTCATACAGGATCAGGTCATAAATACTAAAAACCACAGAAAACACATACTCAAAAGATACAACGCTTACAAATGACACATGCAGAAAATGTCACATCATGCCAGAAACTATACAATAGAGAATGACACACTTACTTAATTTGATACACACACTGACACACTTAATTTTTGTTTTGTTTTGGTTACTATGCCTTGATTCTGATCTGGTATAGTACACAGCCACCAGTGTCAACCGAGTACAACTGACTAAACCCAACATAATAATAATAAAGAGGATTGTTTATTCTATACATAAGAAGAATGTGTAGCACACATTATTTCAAAATAAATTTAATAAATAGATGATTTTTTGCTTTTTAGCAAAAACTCACTAACCCTTCATCAAAACCAAACACTTATACTGCATAAAACATGCAATGATTTATCAATATACAATAATATACATTACAAACTGTCAGAAGTTGCTTCTGTTTGGTTGAAAATGGTTGTTTGTTTAAATTTGAGGTATATGATACAAAGGCTTAGGTAGGCCAAAAAAGGTACCAGGTCTACACACTTGCGTATTTAGATACCCTTTTGATTATTTTAAGAATCCATAAATCTTTCTATTGTGTATACCAGTTTAGAGCTCTGAATATAGGTTTATTGCTTGAAAATATATTAAATTTGTCTATCATCTAGTAACATACATAGAACTTTGTTGTCATCTGGAAATAGCAGACAAAAATATAAAATATTTAAACAATATTAATATTTTTCATCTTTTTGAAATCTTTTCCTATGCAATATCTAATGAAAATAATGAAATAATGAAAATAATAATGACAGATAATCGAGTAGGAAAATATTTTGAAAATTTCCTTCAATTGTTAAATGCTGTTATTTTTTTTTAACAATATTTTACAATAGAAATGTTTTATAATTGTACAGTGATCATAATGTTCCCCTTTATATAATTAACTACTGTCAAATATATATTTTTCTTTTTGATCCTTTCAGGCTCATTGTCAGTTTGGCCAGGATCACAATGGCCAGATAGTGAGGGATGGGCCTGACATTTATGATAAAGACCACTCTTAAAAAAATTGCTGGTGTATTTCAATCAGCCTGAATTTGATTCCAGGTCTCCCATAGTAGTAGTCTGATGCCTTAATTCACTCGGCCATCCAGCCCACTATCAAATATCATAAATATTCACTCAATATTAAATACTTATACAATACTGGACCAAATAGCCAGCTTTCAGAAATATAGAATAACCAGAAAACTGGATATTTTTGAATTTGATGGGCAGTAGTACAACTGTAATTTAGCATGCAGCCACACTGCACTTTAGCTTCCATAGCATACATGCACAAGTTTCAATGTGAGTGTTGTTGTGTGCAAGTGATCCTCTCACAGTTAATAAATTCTGACAAATAAATACTTATCATTTTCATTTATAAACATGAATAAAAGACCATATTAATACCAAATAGACCCTACTTCAGAAGTGTATTAATTTGTGTGTTAAATACAAATTTATTCTTTACATTTTTATTTTATATTTTAAGTATATATTTAGCTTATATCCAAAAACCCAGAAAATCCAGATATCCAGACCACTTCTGGTCCAAACTTGCTGGATATTTTGTCTGGTACTATATTTTATGATTTAACAATGGACAGCTGGAATAATTGTACTAATTTATTGAAGAACACATCCCACATAACTTTGCAGTGAATTATCTTCTGCTATAAAAAATGACGGAGAGCATACTGATCCATTGGAATAATTGACATCTATTGTTTTATATTCCTTTGTTTGAATTACTGTAAATAATCTTTATGCCACTGGATGATGACATAATATTGATTTTTGTGTTGACCAATATTATGTATGATTAACAGTGCTTTGTGGTCACAAATAAAGCAATCAAATTCTAATACTTTAAAAAGATTTATAAAAAAATTATAAGATGCTTATGAATTTTTTAAAAATGTTTCAAATATATCAAAAGTTTAAAAAACATTAATATAGATAGCATTAGATTGAATATTTGGCATTATTCATTATTTGAGTATATTTGACCACATACTAGATACACTTATTCAATATTCCTACTGAATACTTCCTCAAAGTCAAACTATTCAGTTGAATCATGTCATTTTAGTTTGAGAGAGAAAGTGTGAGAAAAGGAAGATTAAAAAAAAATAAATAAAAAATAAAACACAAAATAAAATGAAAATAGTTTTAAAACCTCAGATATTTAAAAATTTTATTATTTATTCCTTTCTGAAACAAATATAACAAAAATAACTTTAATAAATAATCACAAAGTGATAACTTGATATAATTTATCACTATGATAAAACTGATTTTCAAGAGTGATAAACTGTAATAAATAAACATACATGCTTCTGTATTCATATAAGTAAGAAAATGAGATTTTGTTGGTCATCCTAAATAGCCAATTTCCAGCTTTGCTGAATATACTGTATGCTCATTAAATAACATTCTTTGTATTATTTGCCAAAGAAATGGCTCTCAATGGCAAGATTTAATATTTTACTTTTTGTTGCATAAAAATAATTTTTTAAAAATAAAAAGATAGATGTATAATCTTTATTATCAAACAGATGACACTACCCTCCACCTTATTCTATAGCTTAGAATATAAACCTTTTGTTTCAGGCAGTTCCAAATAAATCAGATGATATTTGGCTGATTATTCAGTATTTGGTCAAAAATCTCTGTTTGGTCCATCCCTAATTATAACAAACATTTTTTCAGGTACAATATTCACTTGAGGATTATATCTAACAAATATTCAATTATTTAATTTATTTATATTTCTGTAAAGGTTTTTATTAAAACAGTAAGGAAACATAATTAATCTATAACTAATTTTATTATCCAAGTATTTTTAACTTGTTAAAATCAATTTATTTAATTTTTAATGATGAATAATGACAAATGATTCAAATTTCAAATATTATAAATTCATAAATAAGCAGTTTTGTTAATAAAAAAATTTTTTTTACAATGTAATTTTTTTTACCAATGAAATATATTCACATTACTATTTAAAATTTATTAAGTTCATAAAAACAATTTACCCATTGGTGCACCTCCAGTTTGTGGAAAACCTTGTTGGCCATAAGAAGGAGCAGGTTGAGTATAACCAGATGGTGGTTGATAATTCATTCCACCCGATGGTGGATAGCCAGCATTCGGTGGCAGATAACCAGCATTAGGTGGCGGGTAACCGGCATTAGGTGACGGGTAACCGGCATTAGGTGGTGGATATCCAACATTTTGCGGGGGTGGATAACCTGCTTGCGGCTGATAAGCCACTTCTGGTTGAGGATAAGGTGGAGCAGACATCAACCAACTTTAAGCAAATTTTAATTTCTTTAAAATAAATAATTTGCTAAAAGAAAAAAAAAATAATAAATACATATTTTATACACTGTTATAAATAAAGAATAAAAAAAATCATTAATAATATTAAAGAATCCAATTTTTAACCTGTTTCACTATATATAAATCATTTATACTATTTATTATGTATAAATATTATTACTTACTATCTCACCATAAAGTTCAATAGTAAAAAAAAAATCAATAATATTTGTGTTACCAACAAACACTGCACAAACAAAGTTACATAACAAAACTAAACTGGTATATATTTAAATATCTAAATTTCACATTTATTAAATTAAACATAACATATATAATTGTGTTTTAAGTCTGTAGAATGGATATTAAAATTGAAAATTAAGTAGTGTGATGACATCATGCCATCATGCAACATCTGATCCAATGGAAATAATAAACATGATTAATATCATTTAAATTTCCTTTCATTTACATTTGTTTACTCTAAATGTAATTCAAAATGGAAGGTAGACCTTACTGTAAACAACCCACCTTGCTTACTATAAATAAATATATATATTTGATATCGCGATAATATTTAATTCTTTATCTGTTTATCATCAACGTAAAGAAGATAAAATCTCTCAACTCTTTTTTCCTTTACGAGATTCTTAAATCACTTGAAAATAAATAGGAAGCCAACCAAAATAGCAATATTTTCAACCATTCTTCGACAAAAGATGTCGCTGGTAATATTATTACATACGAAATTTTTTTTTTCTTCTTTTTTTCTTTAATGTTGTTCTTTTGCCTTTTTTGTGTATTTCGAACTAATTTGTTGACAGGAATATTTATACGATTTACTAATGGACTAGAGTTATTTTAGTACCTGACTTTTCCTATACCTTGAACTTTGTGACGTCACAGATGAATCTATTTTGAACTGGAGGGTGTGACTGATAAGGTTTAGGTAGTTTTCTTGCCCTATTTAAGGTTAAAAAAGTTGAAACTGTACGGCATGCTCGTCGGAGAAAAAGCCGATACACGGCCAGAATCTCCATATAAACCCCGAAAGAAATAACTGTACGGCATCTTTTATGTATTGAATAGTGGAAGGATTGGGAGATGCATAAACCGCACTACAGCATTGAAAGTTTATTCGCTTTCAATATGGATGCTAATTTCGCATTTATATTGAACACTAATGACACGTTTTTGTCCTTTAATTGGCAATAATAAAAATTAACGTCTGTAGTAAAAATTCGATAAGTTTACTCGACAAGATGAGCTAATACTACACTTATTCCATTTTTTTTATTTATAATCCAAGATGGAAAAAAGTTATAGGAAAGTACAGTACATTAAATCATCCAAAACGAGATTTCGTAATACATTCTAAGTATATTCAATTGCAAATATAAAACATTTCTCAACGTTTTAAAATATTTCCGTGAATTTCGATTATAATTTTAAATGCCTTTGTTTCTATCTGTTGCACTTTAATTATGAGGATATCGATCTTATCTGGAAATGAGAATAAAAATCGTAATTTAAAATATGTTTTTTAAACACGTAACTCAATGCGTACGTTACGCGAAGTATAACCAGTTTGTACTGTACATTACTAGCATACATTACAGTTGAAAATGGCTCCGCCTCCTATTTCCCAGAATAGGATTTCCATTAAAACAGCAGATCTGCCACTTATCTCGAATAGAGTTTGCGATCTTGTCCATTGACACTAGGATTGGCAATCGTTAGATAACTTAAAGGTGGGTTTTCTTAACTGTAAATAGACGAAGGGTAATTCTATATTTAATCTTGATTTTTATTGTTAAAGTATGCGTTTAAAAATATAAACAGGCATGTTAAAATAGAGATATTTTACTTGAAATATAGAAAACACTACTACACATTAGTCATAATAGATACGGAAAACTTTCTTGAAATTATAAAATTGGTAGAATTAAATGTAGAGGTAGGAAAATTGCTTAAAAACAAAGCAATTTTAAATAATACGTTTTTAATTAAGTCGTTAATATATAGATAGATATAATATTATTTAAATGAGATTTGTTATATAATTTCGAAATTTTACAGTTTGCAAATTAATAATTGAATTTTTTTNTAGATATAGATATAGATATAAATTGAACTTCAAAGATTTTTTTCTTCTTTTTGAGGCGATGCTACATTATATTAGCAATTTTATTTATCTTAACTAAAGAACGTCCTGTCAAATTGGAACAAGTTTTAGTGTCATCTTTTTTTTTTAATATTTGTATGAAAAAACCAATTGATTTTTAAAACGATCCATCACCAAAACGGACATTATTAGCATGTTTGTGCTATCAATTTCTAGTATATTGAAGTAAATTCGATTTATCCCGGGTGCACCACGTTTCGTGCCACGTCAGTGCATATTCATATTTGTTTTTTTAAAAAAGGTTTTTAAAGATAATTTTATCATTTAATTTATTTTAAATATATTTTACTTCACTTCTATAACTTTATTTTCTATCAATTGTATTACATTAATAAAGTACTCATAGTTATTAAAGAAAATATCACGTTACGTTCATTTATATATCGTGGAAAGTTTTGAAATGGTTCTTATCAAAGGCTTTACAAACATTGTAATTTATTTTCAAACAAAGCATTTTATGCAGGAAAAAAAATTAATTCTTTGAAGGACTTTTATTTTCTTTAAGAGCAAAGAAAATAAAAAAGATTTCCTGTGATATTATTTCATTTTTGTATGGAAAATTGTTTTTTAATATAACCCATTCAACATCGTCCTTGTTATACCCTATAATTACTAATTAAGAAAAGTATGTGAAAAAGGTATATTTTTTTAACTCATGGCTGTTCATGTAGCCTAGTATCTGAGTCTGGTGCGCCTGTTTTCCGTTTCATCCAGTGGTCAACTGCTTTGTGATTTTTTTTTGTATGTTTAACTTACTTTTAACTTGTTTGGGGATGTAGTGGAGATTGGCACTAAGGGTTGGAAGAGTGTTAGTGTGGGAAATGCCGTCCCTTGTCACCCCGTTTGGCTACATCCTTGATATATAATTATATTAATAAAATTATTTTTTATTTGAAAATAACATTTATTGTTTACTTTAATTATATAAGATATAATGTAAGTAAACAGAATTATAAGTAATTTTATTCGTTTAATCGATGTAATCAGCTTTAAAGTATAATCAAAAACTGAATTAAATGAGCTATAAAATGCAGTTAAGTGATTTTTCACAAACAACATAATAAATTATAGGTAAAGCTTACAGAAAATTATTTTATTATCACGACAAAAAATCCGAATTAATAAAAATTTTCTATTTTAAGTCATCGATACATCGGGCGGTTGTGGTTATTTATATAAGTTAACTGACGTCAAACAGCATCTGTAGTTCAGCATTTTGCGAGCTCCAATTGTAGCTTTTGTCGTTAACCCGTAACGTTGCTAAATTCCTGGGGAATTCCAATTTAATCTTCATTCCGGCTCTTGTTTTTCAAGAATAGGTTTAGAGATTTTCTTGCTGTGAGATGATGCAATATACAGTAGGCTTATATTCATTTGTTTTTATCAATCATTGATTCTAAACTCATCTAATAATAATAAAAATACTACATAAGAATAATACTACAGTACAGTACTGTACTTTATATATCTGTATTATGTATGTAATATTGCACAGCACATATTTTATACGCGTGTATGTCTATATATAAACGAATAAAGACACATGCACACACACCGTACACCCTTGCTAATCCGGCCTCTCAATTATCCATCATACTTCAAGTGTGATCGTCTATGCAGTTCCGTTTCCGTGCAAATGTTAAATCATGTCATACATCATGTTTTCCTATTTACTTGTGTTTCATTTCTGTGTACAGTATTGCTTGTCGATACACCATATGATTGCCTGCCACCAAAAAGAATCACTACCGAAGAGCGACATGACTCTCATCCATCCGGTACTCTCGCTAATCTGGCACCCCGCTATGCAAGGAATGACCGGATTAGCAAGAGTCTAGCGCGCATATATATACAGTATATGTGTATGTGTATGTGTGTGTGAGGTTGTCATCCTGCATTATTATATCATTAAAAAGTAGTCTATATATATGCAGTAGCCTATACAGTATCAATAAATTATGTGTGTATGCATATATGCGTATTGTTTATTTTATGTAATCTAATATCAGGGATGTAACTAGAAATTTCTGAGTATGGGTCACCCACATCTCTGAAAGCTTGTGTAGATATATAGGTAAGTAGATTATGTAAAAATAAATAAATAAATAAATAATAAACAAAACAGTTCCAAGATCGCTAGCAACATATTATTCTAAAAGGAGTTGCCGTATCGGTAAGGCAGCTCCTTGCATGTTATGTTATATGCAAATCGGTAATATGTATGACAATGCTCAATAAAAACAAATAAATAAATGACAGAACAAGAACAGGTATTAAAGGTATATTTTTTTAACTCATGGCTGTTCATGTAGCCTAGTATCTGAGTCTGGTGCGCCTNATAATACGCTTATTTTTTTTATTATTAATATTTTTTCAATTTAAAACGTTTATGCATATCTCATTCTTTCTGTTAATCCCACATACTGTACAGTACCTCCTGTAGCAAACGTTAATCATAAGTACAAACTGATGTTATCTTAAATATCGACTCGTGATTAGTTTTCTTGTCAAAATACCAAGACTATTTTGAATTTAAACTATCCATAACTAAATATATTCTAAATTATTCAAATATACGAATTACAGATTCAAATATATAGAGTTTCTGTAACCATATCCTTGTAGAAACTTGTTTTATGAATATCATTCCAATTAGGATCTGAATTCTAATTATAGATGAAGTGAATGCTATTGAAGATAATCATCTGATCATATTTATTTAACTTTTTAGATATGAATTTTAAAAAATTAAAAATTATAGACCCAAAAAGTTTGACACAATATATGAAAATATATTTGTGTTTAATAAAATTTAACATAATTTTTAATTCGCATAATTTTTTAAATGCACAGTTTTAATTCTTTCTAGTAGGCTAGGCCTATTAAAACATTAATCTATTACATTCTATATTCGTTTTATTTTATTCGTAAATTAATTGTGTTAATTGTAACTTCAATTTGTCCACAAATGGTTTCATTAGAACTCACACTATATAAAAAATGATTTTTCATAAAAAAAAAGTTGTCAGAAGTTACGTCAGAACATCATACATGTTTCAGAATTTTGAATTATTATGAACAATGAGAGGTAGATTCAACAATTTGCTATCAACAATAACTTGAATAGTGTGTGAAGAGAATAATAATAAGAAAGATATGAAATTCTTTTCAATAGAGATCCTGATATATACTTTATATCTCTATTAAAAATAATTTTATAATATAATTCTAAGTATATACATTAAATTTAGAGCTAATAAAAGGGAGGAGAAGCCGGAACTGTAGTCCTAGAACTCGGACCAGTACAGGAGTCTGGGCAGAAATTAGCGTAGTAAAATTAAGTCTAGAAAATCAATTTATGTAATTTCAAATGCTTGAAGAAAGAAAGAAAAAAAATGTAATAGAAATGTAATAAACTGGAGGACGTTACAACAGAAAAGGGGATAGTGAGACCTGAGACATCTTAGCATTAGGCTCCGTGATTCACGGCTCTGGTTATATTTCGGCTATATTGAAATTTTTTTTAACGTTGAAGTAAAAATTTTTTACATCTGATACGATTTTGTTTAACACTTTTTTAGCTTATAAAGTAATTTGATCTTGATGTAAAAATTTTATCTTTAATTGTTATCGTTTTTTAGATACAATGGTTGACATTTACGTCAATATATTATCAATAATTATCAATAAAATTCTTGTTTTACTGACAATGAAATGCGTTGGAATCATTACTTATATTTAGAACTATAAACATTTTTTTATATTTAGAAAGCTTATTATATAATATAACATTTTATACATTGTTCCAGTATAAATTTACATTTTCACTTGGTGCAGATCATTTTGTTGAGATAAAGTTTCAAAAATTATTCTTTTTTACAGATATTTTTATGTATATAGCTAAGAAAATTTATCATTTAGAAAAATAAATATGAGATATATTTTCTAACTGATAAACAAAAAAGTACAGGTAGGCCTCCTACAACGCGGTAGATACGTTCCTTGAAAATACAGCGTTGTGGGAAATCGCGTTATAGGAGACACCAACTTAATACAAAAACTGGGATTCGGTTCTAAAAAGAGAAAAACTGCCTTTTATTGTGTAACATTTTCATCATTTTTAAATTTATGTACATAAAAACGTTTCATAAAAAAACTTAAATAAAATTAAACATCATATAAAAACGAAAAAGATTATGATTTTAAGTCAAAATCAAAAAGAAACAATGTTATGCTCACAAATTTAGTCCTCATCGTCACCTATTATAGTTGTTCGAGAACGTTTGACTGGCCTTATTTCAAGATCTGAGCTTGTTTCATCGACAAGTTCCATTGCACTTCCGGTAGGTTTAGGTTTTAAAAAATCTGTCATTAGAGATTGTTTGCTCTTGCTTTGCAAATCTTTATAAATTTCTTGATAGGCAGATAAACAATTTTGAAGATTTCTTTTAAATAGTTCCGCTCTCTCCGGCAGAGGATCGTTCTCTAAAAAGTAAGATTCCATCTGTTTCGCCATGTCCAAACGTTTTTCTATACCTTTCGGAGTGAAGTTTTTGATTTCTTCATTGAAAAGATCTTCAAAATTATCTTCAATCGCTAATGTTTCGGATATAACTGTTACCAAATCTGCTTCGTTTATTTCATTTTCCGTAACTAATTCTAGAATATCATCAACAGTTATTTCAGTGAATCCATCGCCTCCTATTGCGTGTGCAAGGCTTACTATGTTATCATATTCACGCTGAATTGGCTCAACAACATTTTCCTGACTGACCATTTCCAGTAATAAAGCTTTCCAAGAAGCATTTAGAGTCGATTGACGAATTTCTTTTAGGGACGAGCCGATAACTTCTACACAATTTAAAATTGAAAATTGTTTCCAAACTTCACTGACTGTAATATCTGTAGAATTTATTTTCTCCAAAATTAGTTCAAATGATTTACGGATATAGTATGATTTAAAAGCCGCTATGATTCCTTGATCCAAGGGTTGCAATAATGAAGTGGTGTTGCCTGGTAAAAATGCAATCTCAACATTGGAATGATTTAAATCAATTGGATGTGAGGGCGCATTATCTAAGATTAGTAGGACTTTGAATGCTAAGTTCTTCTTTTTTAAATAATTTTCTACATCCGGAACAAAACAATTATGGAACCAATTCTTAAATAAATGGCCAGTCATCCATGCCTTTTTGTTGTCTCTCCAATACACTGGAAGGTCGTAATTGTTGCACTGTTTCATCGAGCATGGATTTAGTGATCGATGAATGAGCATTGGCTTGGTAATAAAATCACCAGACGCGTTACTGCATAGAAGTAGAGTTATGCGATCTTTGGAAACTTTAAAGCCAGGAGCGGTTTTTTCATTTTTTGAGATATAGGTCCTGCTAGGCATTTTTTCCCATGATAATCCTGTTTCATCAGCATTAAACACTTGGTCAGCCAAATAACCCTTTGTTTGAATAATATCTGCTAGTTCTGCTGGATATTTTTTTGCTGCATCCTCATCCGCAGAGGCCTTTTCCCCTTGTATGTGTATGTTGTGCAAGGAATGGCGTTTTTTGAATTTTTCAAACCAGCCATTGCTAGCCACGAATTTAACACTGGTTTCATCAGGTGATGACTGTCCCATTTGTTTTAAATAATCAAATATTTTTAAGGCTTTGTGTTTAATTGCACTTTTATTTAAAGGCAATCATTTCTTGTTCTTGTTCATATCTTCTACCCATGATATTAGCACTTGTTCCATTTTTTCCATTATAGGTGCTCTTGGACGAGCAACATTATTTGCAAAAATAGATGATCCGGATGCAACTGAATTCCTAATCTTTTCTTCCGATTGCTTAATCGACCGAATAGTTGACTTATTTAAATTAAAATGCCTACCAATATCAGCTATCCGCTCTTGATTTTTAATTCGATCCAAAATTTCTATCTTTGAAGAGATATAAATTTCCTTTTTAACGACGGTCCTTTCTTTTCATTCGGCATTGTTATGGCTAAAATTTTTTCAATCAGTTTTGTGGACAGTAAAACTCGCAAAAAGTAACTTTCCTTCACTATGTTGTTAAAAATATACCCAATAGAAGTTTATACTGTATTTTGGACCATTTCTGCGGTCCCCACTTATTGAAAGAGTATAAATGATCGAAAATTTAGTGATATATTTAAGTGTTAACGGTAACTGATGCACATCTGCCTAGAAATCGGTTTTTCCCTGAAACTTTCACGGGAACGACACGTCAACGTCGACAAACAGCTGTTTTCAAGGGCATTTAGCTCTGTATGTCGAACTGCGGCTCGTATCATGTGATCCGTTGCGATTTTTCTGTTATGTGAAAGCTAATTCATTTCTAAATACTGTAAACCGCGTTGTAAGAAAATTTCCGCATTTTTCCAACAGCGTTGGAGCGAAACGCGTTGTAAAGGTACCGCGTTGTAGAAGGCCTACCTGTATTTTAAAGATATAAGATTTTTATATTTGATAAATTTTTTATTGGAAACAATTTATTTTATTTTACAAATTGTTTATTATTTTAAAATTTCTATTATTATTATTATTATTATTCCTTTTTTTTATTAAAAATATGAAAATTTTGAGAAATGCTTTTTATTGAGAAAATATTTGACATAATAAATTTAAATAAGAGAAATTTAACTTCAAAATGTCAATTAATTCAATGTCAAATTTAAAAATGCTTGCATCTATTATGATTATCCATAATTTTATTTTCTAATCAGTGAATATTGGATATACATTTACAATATCTATTTAAGTTGTCTTCCTTACACGAAAATACAAAACCAAAACTTGAATAAATATGAAGAATCATACGGTAGTATCTAATTTTATGAAAATGTAGGCCTATAAAATTAGTTTAAAGTTTGAATTATGGACACGAAATGTCGGAATCCATAGAAGTTTAAGAATATAAACATTAAAAACAAATTAAAATTCTTAAAAACACAAGAGTTTTAAAATAAATTATAAAATATTGATATAATTCTGAATTACAATAAAAATATTGTTGGATATATTAGCTTATATAGTTATATGACAGTGATTTTGAATGTTTTATTTGCTTTTAAGCATAATTTCTACATGAATGATTTGTAATCTTGAAGGACTTGTTAAATTTTAGCAAGTATCAATCGATACATTCCTCTGTAATTTTGAATGTATTTATCAAATTACCGTACATAATTTTGTCAATTTTTTATTGAAAATTTTCTATTATATCTTTACTGTATTTTAAAATTGTGAGTTAATATATAGAATATATCTTTAAAACAAACGTAGGCCTATCAACGTTTTTATATAAGATTTAGGTTATATCAGTTATATAGGCTATACAACAAATTCAGCTTTTTTTTTGTTAAAAAAAACATAGGAATGCCATTATCAAAAGAATAAATTTTAAAAAAGTAGGTTCCGGATTGGATAAGTCAGTGGTGCCCAAACTTTTCGATTGGCGGGCCAAATTGCACATAAGTCGTAGGTAGGCAGGCCACAAATATTCTGTATATATGGAATATCCGTATATAAAACAGTATATATTTGAAATAATAAAAAGTTTAATGTTGAAAAGTGGGTTTATAAAAAGTTTTATTATTGTATAATTTTTTTTCTAGTCTATAAAAGTGTGTGTGTTGCACTTGTGTGTTATCGGCCATAAACTGCCTATGACGAATATGGTTTTGTTTTGAAAAATATTTTAAAAAACTTTTTTCGAATGTTTATTTTTTGACATTAAATTAGTAAATAAAAAAAATATTAATTATTAAATCGCGTTTCTGTAAAGGTTTTCCGATGAAACCAATAGGCCTAGTTTTATTAGCTTTTTTCGGATAACCTTTGCAGAAACGCAATTTAATAATTAATATTCTTGCTTTCTCTCAGATCCATATATGTTTATATGTATATATATACATACATACATACACACATATGCACATGTACTGTACAGATACGAGTAAAAAATTTGGATAATACAGAATTATATGTAACTTAATACGAATTAGAAATGGATTGTTAGATAGGGTTAGTGGCTCAATAAATAAACAAAAATCTATATAAAGTCCCCATTAGTTCACTTTTATATACGTACTAACTGTTACCCGCGGCTTTACCCGCGAGGATTTTGCAAGCAAACGCCATTTATATTCAGTATTTCAACAACCATGGTAATTGTTATATAACACCTACTGCTGAGAATAATGAGAATTGCCGAGAATCATGTTGCGTCTCATTATTTGGGGAGGAGAAAGGCCTGTTATACAGACATTCGTATTTTCTAACTTCTTCAAATCTATTTGTTTCCTCATCGTTTTCGCTATACTTTCCACCGTTACGACAATCAAACTACACGTGACTAATGCACGTGACTACGCGTCACAAATCCTTGCGTTTTTATTGGTTGCAGTACGACAGAAGCACGGGACGAAAACGGAAAAGTTAAATAATTTTTAACTCTGCTTTCAGTCTTGTTTCTGTCCAACTGAACGTTACAAAACTGAAAGTTTCGTCAGTTTGGCTTTCAGTTTTACGATTACGTCGCGGATTCCGGTAATGTGGAGTCCTGGCTTAAGGCATATTGTTTTCTTTCTGCGCTCCTCTAAACAATGTCTGGATCCACTATTGATGTCCACAGTATTAATGTAAAGTGAAACCTAAAAATTAAGAGTAAAATAAAATAATCATGAGTAATTATTTATTATGACATTGTCACAATGCACTTAAGTTTAGTAGTGTCTTGCTCCCTGTGCATCAATCGTTTCCTGTTAACAATGAAGTCATATCAGTCACGTATCTAACTCTGTTCAGGAGAAAAAATTTTAATTGAATTAACGTGGCTTCCGGCCCAAAACGTAAGTTTGTATATAGTTAATTGAGGCCTCCTGCCCATAAGCATTCCATATTTGATCGCGACTTTCATCCATCTAACACCGTTCTCGAGATTAAGGAAGAATAGACAGACAGACGGACGTTAGTGGGAATTTATAGACCTATATTTTAATAAAGATAATCATTAATTTGTTTTGATAGTGAATTGTAAAATGTGATTAATTCTATATTTTCTGTGCTATTCCTTTCGAAATTGCTTACTATATTTATGGACACACTAAAAATAAAAAAATTTTTAGTTAAAAACAAGTAAAAATTATATTCTTTCTATTTCCGATTTCGAGGATTCTATGAGCAAAAATTAATATTTTATTAATTTTATCCAAAAATTAATAAAATAATGATTGTTCCGTGCCGTTTGTTTGTCGTGTTTTGGCTCATAGAATCCTCGAAATAGGAAATAGAAAGAATATAATTTTTACTTGTTTTTAACTAAAAATTTTTTATTTTTAGTGTGTTAATATTATTACCGATCCCATTGGTTTTAATAATTGAATTTATATTTATGGAATAAACACTGTATTATGACAATCTTCTTTAGGTTTTTCATGTTTCTCTAACAAACTCATATTCTAATTATAATTGATAAAGAAGAATACATAATATATATATTTTTTCAAATATATCCTTCTCTTTTATTATAAAACATACAACCAAATATAAAGATGCAAACTACTTATATGCTACTTGAATATATTTTTTTCAATATGAACATTTTCAATATGAACAAACTCAAATCATATTTTTAGTTTATTTCGATTAAAATATATTTTAAATACTGTATTTATCCGAATATAAGGCGCACCCCTACTTTGATCCTTTTACCAAGACAAAAAATAATTACTGTAAATACTCCTAACATTTAAATATTTTGGAGACTGGATGATTCCCATGTTTTTCTTCATAAAGCAAAACTTGTATTTTAAAAAGTAAACTACTGTATTAAATGCACTTTATTCCCTGTTAAGTGCTGATATTGTTTAGTATAACGTTCTTTTGTGTCTTCATATACAATATTGATATCAATAACACCAAATACGGTGCCCAAAAAAATTTCGCAAATAATGCGCATCCTAAGTTTGCTCTGCGAAAAATTGCGCCTTATATTCGGATAAATACGGTATTTCATTAAGTTTACATCATTTCTTATTATAGTAAAACCTGCGAAAGTCGGAACCTGAGTAAGATAGAAACCTTCCAGAGGTGGAAAAGTTTAAATATTTTTCAGTAAAGCTGTTACATTAATCTAAAAAATGAAGGGTGTAGATGCAAAAGTCACACTCTCCCCTGTTTAAGGCTTTCGGAAAAACGCATAAAACTGTTTATTGTTGACACACATGATATATTATAACAATTTTTTTTTCAATAGTTCTTATTAAAGCATATGAATTAAATCATAAACATTAAGAAACAACTATCTTAAATTAAAAACTGTTCATATAATACACGAATGGCTTCTTGTATAAAATATTTGGTTTGATTCAATTTATTATATTGGATGTATGTAGAGCAGTTATAAAGCACTTGTAGGTATTAAGACGATCATTATCATCACTTTTCTCTAAATGCTTTTATTCCTTAATTATGGCTCTTTTGGAAAAATATTCCAGTAACTTCACGCTTAAATTTATACTACTAGAATATTATTACTAGAATAACAAAGATAATCAGTTTCTCTATTTTATAATGGAATTATATATCTTTTGACCATTCCAAAACTTGTTTCTGTTAGTAATG